CTTCCCTGGGGATCCGCCCTCAGCCCAGGGAACCTCAGGAGCTGGCGCCCTGGGGAGCCTGTGGCTGGGACTCCGGGCAGCAGTTTAACTCCGGGGCAGCCAGAGAAAGTCTGGGCGGCAAGTGCCCGAGCAGCCTCTTGGCGCCCCAGCCCAGCCCCCGGCAGGCGACATCCCCAGGAAGCTCAGGCCACCTTGGTCTCGGGCCCGAGCCAGGAACCCACTCACAATAGCACGGACTTCTGTTTAAAAACAGCAGGCTGAGCGGAAATAAGGTTACTGGCTGGGGCCAGACCTCTTTCCGGAGGAGGAGGGGGCGCCCGGGACTGAAACCTATGAGGCAGGAGAGGCGGTGGAGGGAGGGCCTGGCCGGGAGGGAGGCCTCCCCACGCCGACTTCTGCTTTGTCTGAAGCGGGCAGGATGTGGCCCTTGGAGGATGTGGGTTAACTAACAGGGAGCGGGAGGGCACCTGAGGCCCCCTGGGGAGGGCAGCGCTGTCCACCAGTGCAGCCACCGTGGCTGGAACACAAACTCTGCACACCCCGCTCCGTCCCAGCACCACGGGCGTACGGGGAACAATGCCACCCGCGGCTGGCGTGCAGTTCCGTCTTCCAGAAACACAGGGTGGACGCCGAAAACCACGCTCAGCTGAACCGAGCGGCGAAGGACGCCCAGAAGGCACACGCGCCATCTGTCTGCGCTCTGAGCCGCACCCACCCACATCGGCGGGGGCTTCCCACCCACCCTCAGACGTCCTGCCTTCCTCCCCTGCCACCCCCCGACGCCCACCGCCACACGCACCCAACAGTACCCAGGAACCGTATCTGTTGTCATTTTTTTTTAAATTTCTTATCCACAACACTTGTACAACTGTTTTTTAAGGTTCTTATCTTTCTTTTTAAATGTGCTTCACCCTGGCCAGATAGGTAGCTCCATTGGTTAGAGCTACCTACACCAAGGCTTCAGGTTCGACCCCAGGTCAGGACACATACAAGGGTCAAGCAATGAATAAGTGGCACAACCAATCGATGTTTCCCTCTCTCTCTCTACCTCCCTCCCACCCCTTCCCTCCCCCCCCTCAAATCAATAAATTAGATTTTTTATTTTAAATTCTTAAAAACAAAAACATCAAACATGCTCCAATGAGGCTTCTGGGTATTGTGTCCTTAGCCCTATGTTCTAACAAGGCTCCTGGCGTTCACTGCGTGGCTCTGCACAGCTCAGGAGTCATGGGAGTGCAAGTGCATATTACAGCCTTAATATTATGTAAAGTGCTCAGCACAGCGCCTGGCACGTGATAAGCACTGAATCAACTGTAACTTGTTAATACTAAAAAGGAGAAAGAGAGCGAGAGAGTTTACTTACACATCGAATGAGCTAAGATCTAGGGGCACTGAGCCATCCCAAGAGCTACGTGTGAGCATTTAGAATACAGGAAGAGACGTCAGGAATGAAGGCTGGCATAAAACACCCTAGGTGGGTATGAGGACAACCCTGCATTAACATTTTTTTCACCATAAAAACCTATAAAGTCTGGAAGGAAATAAACCAACATGTCAATAGCAATTGAAGGGACTTAAGAGTGGCTGTTTGTTTCCGTTTACCCCCCAATTTTGCAAACTCATAAACCTTTTAAAATCTTAAAGACAATCTAAGACCCAAACCCAAGCAATTGTCAAGAAGCAGAAAATCACCTCAGCCTGCTAATCCAGCTTAGGGTGGGCCCACTCTGCCTGTGTTCAGCACGGGAGTGTGTATCTGTTTCATCCGCTGCTATGACAGCAAGCACCGAACACTTCCTCCCCTTTCATGTCTTCAGAATAAAGACTACTTTTAAGAGCAAGAATGTTTAAACCATGTAGCTTGTGACCTTCACTTTGTATCTAGTAATGCACTAGAAAGTGACTTTGTTTTGAAATTAACTTGCAACTGCATGAGGATTAGGTAAGAATGAGCTTGACTTTGCTCAGAAATCAATGCTGCTCTCCTCTTTGTTCTCCTGAGGCCGCCTGATGGCTTATCGGGGCGAAGAGGAGGAAATGGGGTGCGGACTGCCAATGCCTGGGCTGTGAGCCATCAGGCCTGTTGTCAGAGTCCTCTCCTGACGGCGTCCAACAAATTAGCAAAGGCCTCAAGAAAGCCGTCAGGACCTGCTGGTTCTAGGCCAGGGAGAGAAATGGTGCCGGCCGCCACCTGTCCAGCTCCGGGCCAACTGGTTCCCCAGGCACCATGACAAAATGCAAGTTCTGGTCTCCGCCCTAACACCTAGACCAGCGGTCGGCAAACTGTGGCCCCTTGAATGTGGCTCTTCCACAAAATACCATGTGCAGCGTGCACGTACAGTGCGACTGAAACTTCGTGGCCACACTCAAGGGGCCAAAGAGCCACATGTGGCTTGCGAGGCGCAGTTTGCCGACCTCTGACCTAGACTGAACCTCTCCCCAGCGCTGCCCTGGTGGCCACGCCAGGAAAGAATGAAGTGGGAAGGAGATGTGGCCCCAGGTCCGCCTTTAGTAAAGCAACACCTGCTTCCGCTTCAGCTCTCGGGGGCTCAGCAGCACTTTTCCAGGGTTGGGGGCCTGAGTGACAGGGACCTCTGACCCAGGATGGGTCTCCTTAGGGAGCAACTCAGGGAAGTGTTCAACTGAAGCCCAGAGCCACGGGCTCTAGTCCCTTCCTCTCCCTGGACCCTACTATCCCCACACATAACACAGGATTGGGTTAGTGCACAGGGTCACACACTCATATCTGGCAGGTAATACGATAAATCGATAAATCGTTCGGGTGTGTCAGCCCTCACACAGTCCGTGTGGTCTAGCGTTCCCTTGCCTTAATGATGAGCAAATCAGGGGTTTGGGGAGAGGGGGGACCCTGCAGCCAGTCCACAGCTTGGAGAACTAGACTCACTTTCAAAAGGGGTCCACGGGCTCTGAAGAGCCAGGAGGAGATAAAATAGCTCCTGAGTCAGAGGAGCCCTTTGATATGAAACTTCCAGGGTAGCAGGGAGTTTTTTCAGGGCCAAAGCAGGAGGAAATGACAACTGAAACTGACAAGGGGAAATCTTAGCAGCATAAAAGCAAAGTTCTGCATTTAGGTTTGAAAGAAAACGAACCAGGCTAAGAGGCCAGGATGCACTGGGGGAGAGGGACAAGACTGCAATGGAAAGCCAGCCCCTCCCGGAGAAAAAACATCCCTGAGAGCCAACAGCAAGCGCTAAGAAGGCCCAGGGAGCCTTTGGGAGAAAAGCGAAGGGTGTGGCGAGCTGACCCAGGATCCAGCTGCTCTCCTGGTGGTCAGAGTGCATTTGGAAGCTTGGGCTCTGGCCTGGGGAGACAGTACAACGGCAGGGGCCCCGGGGGAGCCACAGGCTCAGGACAGTTTCCCGGTGCCAAGAGGACGAAGATGCAGCTCTGAGAAGGGTAAAGAAAAGATGTGCTGCCAGGAGAGAAGGTGCCCACAGCCCTCAAATACAATACGGGCAGCGAAGGGCAGCGAAGCAGGGCAGCCCGAGAGGCTGCCACGAGTGTGAGTGACGGCTCAGAGGCCCGCCCCTGCAACCACAGAACCTTTGCTCCAGCGGGGGTTCCACCCTGTAACAGGAAGTGCCGGCTCACTGGGGAGGTGCGAGGGTAACAAAACAGGCACCCAGATGGGCCTCGGTGCCTCAAAATTGCCTCCAGAGCAGTGCTTGCCAAACTTTGATGTGCTTAGCTACCACCTGGGATTTTTTTTAATTGATTTTAGAGAGAGAAGATGGGAGAGAGAAACATCGATCTGTTGTCCACTTACTTACGCATTCATTGGTTGATTCTCGCATGTGCCTACCAGAGATTGAACCGGAAACCTGGGCATATCCGGAAGACACTCTAACCAACTACGGTACCCGGCCAGGCTCACCTGGGGTTCTTCCTAAAAGACGCTAAGTTAGTGGATGTAGGGTGAGATCTGCAGCTCCCATGGGCTCCCAGGTGATGCTCACGGGGCGCCCAGGCACCGCACTTTGGTAACCAGGGCATTTTGAAGGCAAAGAGAGCAGGTTCTGAGGGGGGCCTGGTGAGAAGGGGGGCGGTAAGAGAAGCCCCGCCTCCTAAAGGGCAGTCCTGGGGTCGGAGTGGACGAAGGAGGCGTCCTCGCGTCCTGGAGGATTCTCTCCCGTTTCCTGGGGAAAGGGAGGCCCCGCAGGGACAGGGTGGCTTCAAGCCCGAAGTGTTTGGGTCCCAATACAACTGGCCACTCGGAACCGGTTCACAGGAGCAGGAACCGGACCATGCCCTGCTGCAAACATGCCTAGGATTTATCAGCTCTCCCCAGCCGCCCTGCACAAACGATCCACGCTGTCTTCCTCCAGGGGAAAGGTGACTGAGGCTGCGAGACTCTCCGGCGGTGACTCACCCACAGAATCAAATATGACCCCGCAGGGCAGCCCCAGCTCGCTTCTCCAAACCCAACCTCTCCCTCTAGACCGCCCCCAGCCCCGTCCCGCGCGCCGTTTCCTCTCTCTCAGGTGTGTCCCCAATGCCACGGTCTCAACCCTTCCAGACGCAGCCGAGGCTCTGACCCCTCGCCGGGGCAGTCATTCCCACAGCGTGTGTGGGCGCTCCTTCCAGTCTCCTCGCATCACAGTACTGCGAGCCCGCCTCGGGGGGGCCCTCGGAAGCTAAGGTCCCATAAGCGCCCCTTTGTCTCCCCCTCCGGCGCCGAGCGCGGTGCCAGACGCACAGGAAGTGCTGACACTGAGCCGGGAGGGAGCAGGATCCGTGTCCAGAGGGGGCGCCCAGCGCGCGGGGACTCCGCGGGGCTCAGCGAGGGTCCCTCCAAAGAACAAGGGTCCCCGCGACAGGAGCCCCGAGCC